TTAGGAAGCCAGTGGGAGACAGAGACAGAGTGTTGAGACTGAGTGGGAGACTGAGTGGGAGACAGAGTGGGAGACAGAGTGGGAGACTGAGTGGGAGTGAGAGACAGAGTGAGAGACAGAGTGGGAGCAGTTCAGGGTGAAAATGGGTGGAAAGTTTTTCTGTAAAAAGCATCGATCAGCATAGAACATTTGTCTCATGTTCTCCAGCGACTTGTTTTAGTCATGTGGTGTTGATATACGAGTCCAGACTTTATAAAATCTTTGTGAATAGAAAATTGCAGCAAATTAAACTGTACATTTTGTGTGTATGTGTGTGTGTGTGTGCGTTGTACTGTTGTGGTAGTGTGTCACTGTGGCTCGCACGCCATAAGTCTGTACTTGTGAGGACATTCAATGACTTTTAGTCAGTAACCTGAAACCCTTAAAGGAGTAAAGGACACACACACACACACACACACACACACACACACACACACACACACACACACACATACACACACACATACGTGTGACAGCTGCAACCTCACTGACCTGCATATCCTGCTGACCTGCAACCCTGTCCGTGTATCAGTATTCAACACTGGCATCTCACATGCAACCACACACAAACACACACACACAAACACACACACACAAACACAAACACACATCGCTTGTGTCGCAGAAATGTGTAAAACTATGAATAGAGAACAAGAAGTAAACATATAGAAAATGGTTAATAAAACATTTATATTTGAAGAACAATCATCACACACACACACACACACACACACACACACACACACACAGACACACACACGCTCCTTCCTTCCCCCTCATGCCCTGAATCACTGCTGACAGTTTGTGTTCCACTTTCGCCACAGAGGAAACTGCTTCCATCTCTGGTCACATGACAAAGTGCAGAAAGACGTTTTCTCTTCATGTCACATTTCATCACGATTGTGTTTTTATACACGTTTTAAAAAGGTCTCTGATTAATGAATATGAATGAAATACACAACCGTATAATAATAAAACCATTTATCGGGTTCTCGTGGTTCAACTCGAGCACTTCATGAAGCTGTGAAAGTTGTGCGTTTGTGTGCACCTTCATCTCTCATGTCGCGGCCGTGCTTTCTCCAGCTCCTTCCTCATCTCCTGAGGGCCGAGCCGGGCGGCGTTCAGCACCAGGTGCTTTCACTTCGATGGGACTGGCACACGTGGGGGTCGTGGGGCACGTAGAGGCCGATCTTCACCTGGGGAAGCAAGAGGTCAGACGAGGCGCTCCCTGATGGCTCTGCCCCCCCCGTCCCGCCCCGTCCCGTCCCGTCCCGTCTCTCACCTTCTTCAGGGTGTGCTGGTACATCTTGTAGGAGCTCTCGAACTCGGCCACCAGCTCGCCCAGCGTGCGGTGCGTCAGCGGCTTGTCCATCAGGTCCTGGCGGCGGCTCATGCCCAGCGTGCCGTAGCGCCCGTTGCAGTGCACGCCGAGCACCACGTGGTGGAAGCAGTGGCCCGAGAACTGCGTCTTAAAGCTGATGGGGAAGCGCTCCAGAGACGTCAGCCCGTTGGTCAGGTAGCTGGTCGGCGGTTAAGACAAACTTAAGAAAAAGTACCTTTGAGGACAGAACCCCAGAGAGAAAGCAGGTGTTTGTTTGTTTGTTTGTTCCCGCCCGAGTCAGACCCGATTAGATTCAGAGGGACTCCCTCAAGGCCGATGCTCCTCCTGCCGGGTTCCATCAGCAACCTGAGATGATGACACACGCTCAGGAGGTCTGTTTGACCTCTGGAACACGAGGAGATAGGGAGGGATTATGTGCACCTCTTGACCTTTGACCTCCTCATTCCTCTCTTCCTGATCTCCTTTCCTCCTTTTCATCCATTGGAACCAACGAAAGTTACCAAGTTACCAACGGAGTAAACAAATGACAGCTGTAGAGACCTGTCAATCAGCGTTTAGCCCCGCCCCAAAGCGTCCTCTGCTTTATGGTCTGTTTGACTCTACATGGACCATAATTCACTAAATGAACATCATGCTGCGTTGAAGAAGACTTGAAACTAGAGACTGAGACCATAAACTCATGTTTACTGAGGGAATAAATCAAGAGAGAAGTGGAGTCATTTTCTCATAGACGTCTATGGGACCAGAGGAGACCCTGCTGGTCACTACTGAGAATGCAGCTTTATGGTATTTCAGCATTGGCTTCACTCGTTTTTTTTTTGTTTGTGCTAATTTCACAAATACGAGTCTACAAATGAGAACTGAATGAGGCCTAAATATAGTCAGCTCTCCTGTGTTCCTTCTACATCACGGCTTACCAACGTGCCTTCTGCCTCAGTCTGTGCAGGAAGACTGATAAACACATTTACATTTCTGCAGAGAAACTTTGGAAGTGAAATATGAAGAGAGAAGATTTAGCTGTCGTGTCATTTCTCAGTTAAGAGGCTCAGATTTAAAATCTCTCTCTCGGTTGCCATAGTAACCACTACTGGAGAGAGTTGTCAGTTTTAACACAGCTGAACATCGTCCCTCCTTATTCCATACACACGATCCGTCCGTCCTTCTAAACAGAGAAGGAGACTCGACTGGTCTCATCCTGCTCCGTGTGAGAAGCCTTCATCTGAGATGCTGATTCTCTCCATCACTATTCCTCTTACAGGGTTTTAATCCCCGTATCTTCTAATCTGATGTCCTAATCAGTTCATCCAGGAGTGGACATCCTTGTTACCTGAAATGTTGCACATGAGGTCACAAGGTCGCTGACCTTTGACCCCAATCCAACCAGTCCATGAGAAAATGTGTGATGGCACTGGTGAGATATGAGAATACTCTCTATGGATGAAGAGGAGCAGCGTGAGGTCTGAGGTGTCGTGAAGTTCAGGGTCTTTAGATATTGAAGAATATGTCTTTAGGAGTAACTTTGTACTCCGCATTTAACGTGGCTGTTCTGCAAGAAACAACTGGGATAATACAATGAGACACACACACACACACACACACACACACACACACACACAGCTGGTGTGACCAGAGATAAACCCAAAGAGAATTCGGATCAGGAACAAAGGACCCAACGGCAGAAGAGATGAGGACAGACAGGAGGACACCCGTCTTTAGAGCCTGATTGATAATGAGACATGTGGAGATCACTCGTCTTCCAGCTTCCTCACTCAGTCATCAGCTGATGACTCACCTGAGAACGGCCTTCATTCATTGATCTGACTCAGCAGTCGACTGGTTGGGCAAACAGCAGGTATGTAAACAGGGCGCGTCCTCCTTTGTGTATTAAACATAAAGTCGTATGCGTCCGAGGACACAGCAGGCAGGGCCTCATAGCTCAGTGGTTAGAGCACTGGTCTTGTAAACCAGGGGTCGTGAGTTCAATTCTCACTGGGGCCTGACTCCTTTTTCAATGAGCCATGATGGTGAGAGGACACACACACACACACACACACACACACACAGCGTCTCACAGCTGAAGCTTCCTCACACAGACACTAGCTCCTTTTCCTCACCCCTGTCTTGTGTTATTATCCTCACTCTGAGGTCGCTGTCAGGTCTCACATGCACTACCCACAAGAGCGTAGTGCATGTGAGACCATCACCCTTGAGGAAACCAAACATTTATTGCACATGTGTTTAGATCGTCTTCTTCCCACTGAAATTGAATATTTTATTGTCCACTTGTATGTATTTATTAACTTTTTAAAATATGGAGCCGACTTTATAAAATCTTTGTGAATAGAAAATTGCAGCAAATTAAACTGTACATTTTGTGCGTATGTGTGTGTGTGTGTGTGTGGTGAAGGGGTTACGTTTTGAAGAGGGCTTGTTGCCAGGCAACAACACATTTCAGTAAGAGCTGGAAAGGGTGGCAGTGGTGATGGGGGGGCTTCAAGACATTAGAGCAACATGTCTCATTGATTTCAACCACAGAAAACATTTGGCCCAGTGGTTGGTGGGTGCGAGTGTGTGTGTGTGTGTGGTAGGATACACTCCCAAGATGACGGCTTCAAGACATTTGATTGGCAGAGACTCTCTGATCATCTCTCTTGCGGTCTCCATTAACCTGGTGGAAGAAGGAGAGGAAGAGGAGGATGAGGAGAAAAGAGGCACAAGGTCGGTGAGAGGAAGAGGAGGATGAGAATAATGATCAGGAAGCAACTTGATGAAAATCAAACAAAGACCAAAACCTTCCAGACGTGTGAGAGCTGGATGCTAAACTTGTTCAATCCTAAACTAGTACCTTTTTTAAAATAACATTTTTCATAGAATTTATATATTATAATAAGTAATTAACTGAAAACAAAGAAGGACCTTATTGTGGGAACCGCTGAGTTACATCGGCCTGAAATAAATGCTTTTATTTTAAGTGAATGTCCTCCTCCTGTCCTCCTCCCTCCTCCTCCCTCCTCCTGTCCCCCTCCTGTCCCCCTCACTTACCCGCTCAGTGGGCGGCTCTTCTTGATCTCAAAGAACTGGGTTCCTGTGTGGTTGTATCTGGAGGAAGCGTTAGGGACAACAAGGTTGCGTCCCGCTGGTCAGATGACGAGACGCGAGACGGACCGGCTCCTCCCGCCAGGTGTGGCTCGCCTCTCGCGGCATCCGTTGTCATGGCAACGTACGCTGCTGTGTCATTGCTACCAACGAGCGAAAGGATACTGCAGAGCCTTCATGTAGTTCTGGATGGCCACCAGCCAATCAGGGACCGACATGGAGGGTCTGAAGGTCGGGACCGAGGGAACGGGATGCTGCAGAGGGAAGGGGGGGGGGGGGGGGGGGGGGTTTTTTTTCCAATTTACATGGGGGAACTTTTAAGGGCAAACGAACACCCCCTGCGGTCTTTGAAGGGCCCCCTGTGATTGGGGGAACCCCCATACCCTGGATGTTCTCCAAGAAAAAAAGACACATGGGGTTCTTAGTGTGATGACACAAGAGAAGCTCTGCCACCCCGCCTCGGTTATCTATGCATGAACAAAAAAGGGGTTTCTCGGCTAGGGGGGGAAAAATTGCATCTTAGCACAATTCCCATGTGCGTGACAGATCTCTAATGGGGGTAACGCGTGGGGGAAACTATTACTGGTATCCCAATCCAGATCTCATGTGTTAAGAGAGAAAAAGTTCTTCTGCGAAATACTCATCTCCCACATCCTGGGGGAAAAAAAACACAAACCCACTGGGGGGGGAAAAAAACCTGCGGTGGAAATGAAACCGGGTCCCCCCTCCCTTCACCTCAACCAAAAACCCTCCCGAAAGGGAAAAAGTCAAAAAAAGGGTGAGTCAGAACTCAACGCCGAACGACACTTCCTCCACACGCAAGCAGGCAGCCCGTGTGTGTGTGGTGTGTGTGGTGTGTGGTGTGTGTGTGTGTGTGTGCGCGTCCGCCAAGGGTGAACCAATAACAACATCCCCATCATTTTCTATGAAGAGGGTTTTGCCCCATTGTATAATTTCCTGAACAAGGAAATGGCTTGTATTTTTGCTGTTGAAA